GACCCTGTTTAATAACATCCTGTATGTGCTTTATCCCCAAGCTCTTGCTGTAGGTGTAGTAGCTACTATGTTGCAGTTGATATGACTGTAGCTCACTGTGAACCCCTGCAGCTCCACTGCCCTCACCGCCCATTGTTTCCTTGGAGTTAATCTCCAGCTGGGTGGATAATAGTGGTTCCCAGTGGAATGATCTGATTTTATTCTTATAAAATGAGCGATTTCTTATTAGTTAACTATTTTTTCCAATTCAGGGAATAGAAACAATAAATGTGTGACGATGTTGCTTAAATTCTTTTAGCCAGGGTAAAAATTAATTCATTAAACAGAAAGTATATGTAAGCATCATACTTTTTTTTCCCTCAATTCATTTCAGTTAGCCGTGTGTGTGCGGGTGTGTGTATGTGTGTGTGTGTGTGTGTATGTGTGTGGTTGGGGAGAGATGAGTGTGGAGTATAAGCGCTACCAAAAAATAGTCAAGTAAAATATATTGGATGTTAGAAGGGAGAATGCTATGGAGAAAACTAAAGCTCAAAAGAGGGAAAATTCATAATCCTAATTTCTTTCCCCTTATTACATGGGTTAAGACCTCATAGTTATCACTATAATTAGTTTTATGGAAAAATGGGCAGAACTACTTTGTTTATTTAATTTTAATAGTACATTTTATTACTGTTACCACTATTGTTATTTTGGTTAAGTGTTCTAGGCAAAAGGAATAGCATATACATAGAAAGTAGGGATGAAAAGTTCAGCAGGATGGTCACACAGAGTGGTTCTGGACTGCATTCATAGCAGGATTCAAATCCTGGCTCTGCCTTTTCCTTGCAATATGACACTGGAAGTCTGTTACCTCACTTTCAATATGCAGGTAATACTAGTATCTACCTAATGGGGTTATTGAGATTAAATTAGAAAGTATTATGAAAGTGCTTATTAGCACAATGCCTAACACAATGAAGTTTTGTGTAAGTTTTAGTTAAGATGAAAATAATAGGCCAGGAGGCCTTTATATGAGTTGGCTTTTTTTTTTTTTTCCGATAACTGCTGTCTTCTGAATAAGATTTGACTTCTTCATTTCACCTTAACAATAACACACTCTGGTATTCATGCAGGTAATGGTTTCCTGGCTTGACCCAGGGATATCCTACCCAGATACTACGGAGCACTCCCACCTAGCTTATCTCAGTATCATGGAGCAGTTAGTGGGAATCTTAATATTATTCATGTAAATATATATATTTTTTATTTTAAATTTTCATTTTTTATTTCATTTAAAAATTCACTTTAAATTTTAAATTTAAATTTTAATGTGAGTATAGTTAATGTACAGTGTTATATTAGTTTCAGGTATACAATATAGTAATTCAACAATTCTATACATTACTTAGTGTTCATCATGGTAAGTGTACTCTTAATCCCCTTCACCTATTTCACCCACCCCCACCTACCTTCCCTCTGGTAACCAGCAGTGTGTTCTCTATACTTAAAAGAGTTTCCTGATTTGTCTCTCTTTTTCTTTTTTCATTTGTTTTGTTTCTTAAATTTCACATATGAATGAAATCATATGGCATTTGTCTTTCTATCACTGACTTATTTTGCTTAGCATTGTACCATTTAGATCCATACATGTTGTTGCAAATAGCAAGATTTAATTTCTTCTTAATGGCTGAGTAGTATTCCATTGCATATATCTACCACCTCTTCTTTATCCATTTATTTATCCATGGACATTTGGGCTGCTTCCATAACTTGGCTATTATCAATAATGCTGCAATAAACATAGGGGTGCATATATCTTTTCAAAATAGTGTTTTCATAGTCTTTGCATAAATACCCAGTAGTGTGATTACTGGATCATAGGATAATTCTATTTTTAATTTTTTGAAGAACCTCCATATAGTTCTCCACAGTGGCTGCACAGTTTGCATGCATTCTCACCAACAGCACAAGTGAGTTCTTTTTTCCACATCCTCGCCAACATGTGTTTCTTGTGGGTTTTTTTTTAGCCATTCTGACTGGTGTGAGGTGATATCCCATTGTGATTTTGATTTGCATTTCCCTGAGGATGAGTGACATTGGCATCCTTTCATGTGTCTGTTGGCCATCTGGATGTGGGTGAAGTTACAGAAGCTGCCAGTATTGTTACTTTAAATAGCTTATAAATCCTAATTCAGTGACACCTACATTTAATGGTTGAAAATCTGTTTTGTTACTATCCATCTCTTACTTCCTATTCTAATATTCAGCAACTGTAATCTTAGAAGCATGTGCTTAAAATCCTGATATTGGGTAAGATGAGAGAAAATGGATATTACCTTCACGTTGTGAAGTAATTTGCCTGTGAGAAGAGGTGAGTGACATGATGACAAAGTCTGTGCTTAGTGGACACTGTTATACATGCTTACTTAAACTATTAAATTCTTATAACATCTCTGTGAACTGACTATTAATACTCTCTCTGAAGATGAAGGAAGTAAGTCTTAGAGAGACTAAACAATTTTACCCAAGGACAGAGCTAGTAAATACTGAAACCAGGATTTGAACCTAAATCTTGATCCAAAGATCTTATCTGTAGTCCTCAAACTTTTCAGCTTCATCCTCTGGCTTGAGCTAAGAAGAGTGAACAAAATAACAAATCCATTGGTTTTAGTCCAAACAGTTTTCCAGAGCTTGTTCATGATTTGCCCCTGCTTAGCTCACCAACTGTATTCTAGACGCCACACTCCGGTCACTCTGGGCCTAGCCTCACTAGCTTCCTTTCTGTTCCTCAAGTACCACATATTGGAGTCTTTGCAGAATCTATTTCCTTTCCCTCATCCCTCTTTTCTCTATATGCTTACCTCCTTTTTCTTTTCCAGGTCTTAGCTTAATATCATTTGCCCAGGGTCTACATCCAACCACTTTCTGTAAGGGTCATGACTCTTCCTCATTTACATTCTCTCATCCCTCCTGTTTCCTTCATAGCATATCAGTGCTCAGGAGTCAGTGTATTCATTTGTAACGTCTTTGTCTGCAGACTATAAGCTCTTTGAGAGCAGGAACTTTTGCCCTCTTCGTTATTACTCTGTGAAGGAAATTTAGAATAGCATTTGGAGTATAGTACATTTTGGAAAAGCAATTGAATAAAGAATGGATGAGTGACTTTGAGATTTATGTATTTGTTTCTAATTGGAAACAGTGTTTAAAAATGTTGATGGATGTATTTGAAAAGTAATGTCTTTGATAACTTTGAGGGTTCTAAATCTTCTTTAAATTTTGATCAGGATACTTAGTACCATACATACAAACTATTATAACTTTCTGCATTAACAGATTTCTGCTTTGGTTTTGATATGACTAATGGTCTTTTTTATATAATTAACCTGAAGAAGAATATTCTTTAATAAGAATAAAACTCTTCAGCTAATTATCTGCAACAACCTTATACCATTAGAGAACAGCAGTTTTAGCTAGGTAAAGATATGGTGTGCTGTTTAGCCTAATTGAAATATTATAGAAAGTAAAAAAAAAGGGGGGGGGGGGTAAATGGGTCGATCCAGGTCCAGAAACTCAGGAAAGGACTTTTTCCAAAGTATCAGCTCAATTCTTACTGTGTATTTTCCACCCTCCCCCATTATAAGAGATATACACTTATAGGAGCAAGCGATTATATAAAGCACTCAATCAAAACAAATCTATTTCAGAACGAATCAGTATTAATCAAATTTCCCAGTTTATCTCAAATCCATAAGAAACAAAACGATAACTTTCATGGGTACCTTAACACTGAAACCATTGTACCCTAGTCCATCTAAGGCAGATGTACTAGAGACATAGGACTGTGGGCTAGATGTTCAAATAGAAAGTAAAAGAAGCATTGGGTTCAGGAGGAAATCAATCACGAAAAACTTTACACATTGTATTTTGCTCCATAATCAGCAACTGAAACTATTGCATATGAACCTCATATGCAGAAATCACTAATTTTAAAAAATTTTATTTAATAACCTATGGACTTCTATGAATCTATGTTACAAAGGGATTCCTTAGGTTTCAGAAATGTTTCTTTAAAATACGGTTTGATTGACAAAAATTTACACATTTAAAAAAATATACCTTGCTTTCATAGCTTCCTAGAAGCCAGGTTCTTTTTCTATAAGACAAAAAAACAAAACAAAACAAAACAAAAAAACAAACAAACAAACAGCAACAACCAAAAAAAAAAAAAAAACCCCAAACCAAATAAAAAAAAAAACAAACCCACAAACCCCCAAAGCAAAGTAGACTATGCTTTTATATAAGGAGATACAGGAAAATGGACACATTGCATCCATGTAAACAATGTGCCCAGTGAATATATCAAGAATTTTATATAGTTCAAAAGTAGCGTTTTTACTAGTAAGCAAATATCCTAAGATCACTGTAATCAAGACCTGTCTTGTCTATTTTATTCTTATTTTCTAAGATCAGCAGCAACACTGGCTTGCTTGCTTGCTTGCTTATTTATTTATTAATTTACCCATCTGTTTATTTATTTATTTTGAGAGAGAGAGCTCACAAGCATGAGGCGGGCTGGGCAGAGGGAGAGAGAATCCTCAAGGAGACTCCCTGCTGAGCACAGAGCCCTCCGTGGGGCTTGATCCCAGGATCCTGAGCTCATGACCTGAGCCAAAATCAAGAGTCAGCCACTTATGACTGAGCCATCCAGGTGCCCTTGGCTTGCTTATTTCTATATGGTAGAATATACGGACCACAATGTAGATAACTAGGAAATTTAGCTTTCTTCTGTGAATCAGAGGGTTTTCATGCTGACTCTATAGAACTTCCAGTTCTCTGTTTATAGAATGATCCAAGGACATCTCCGAGGAACTCTGCATATTCGTTACAGATACCCTGATTCCTAGAACTGAGAGGGACCAGGGATTATCTTGTCAAAAATCTTTCCTGTAAAGATAGATAGTCTGAATTCTGGTGACGATTGTAATGAGGCTTTATTTGTCTTTGTGTGTCTGCATATGCAGGAATACATGGACTCCAATAAATACATTGAGCATCTTCTAACTCAGCTCGAGGAACAACACAGAAATCTATGGAGGTGAGTGAAACGCATGCCTAGAACTCAGAGCAGCCTTGATTATCTTCCGTGTTGATCACGGAGGCAGGGAGTCGGCATACTTTCTCTTCTTGCCCTTAGTGTCAAAACACCTTCGGAAGCAAGTCACCAGAGGCTCCTTAGGAAATTGTATTCCTTTAATCAAAGTAAAGCAACAGTGCCAGGAGTTGTCCTTGAGTCAAGGACCTGCTCAGAGCCAGGAGGATGGTGGAAATCATGACACTTTGTCAAGGTCAAGAAATTAATTTATCCAAGGCTACATAACTTTCATTGTGGAAACTAGAATCCAATTCTCTGACCCTTGCCTGCTTAAAGATTAAGATTTTTATGTAATTGAAAAGTTGAATACAGCTGCTTTAAATGTCTGCTTCTCTTCATATTAACGGAGAATATTTTAAGAATGCTGTTCTGTAGGCCTCTTGTGTTTAGTTTTTTGTTCTGTGTGGTGAGTTCTGATGCTCAGTGAAGAAAGGTATGGGAGAATATTGGTGCAGGTAAACTGGATAAAGAGGTTAATATCATAAAGGGCGTATTCTCAAGTGTCTCGTTCCCTCGGGCCTCTCGGGAATTGAGGCTGATTGAAACGATTGCGTTGTTATTTTCTAGATCTTTAGGACCCCGGTGCTCATGCTCTGCATCCATGTTCCAATGGGATCTGCTATTCCTTTTCCTAAATTACTATAGGTCCTGTTATTTGGAACAAATATGCTAGGGTTTAATTACATGATGGCTCACATTGTACCAGAATTGTTTAATGTAATTAGCTTTGTCTCCCCAGGGTCAGTAAGCCCCTGAAGGCCATTATTTCTTATTTCCTGGCAGCATGGAGGAGATACCCAGAGAGTGTGGGTAAAGATTTGCTAACCCTGTGGCTTTCTTGCCAACCTCACCCAAATGTATCACCATCAGTCTCTGTACCAGGCTAGACTACCCCTTCTTAAGGCATCCCAAAAACCTTGAAATCTGTCCTCTCTGAAGGATTGTAGTTCTTAGTCTTAGTGCCTAATAATTTCATTTGTTTTGTCCTTTGTATTAGTCTCCCTGCTAAAGAACAGATCTGTGCTTATAGTAGTAGACCCTCTATTTCTCTGTACGGAAAAAGTAGGATTACAAAAGTAAATAATTTTTAAGTCTGCTTCCTGCTAGCAGACATACAAGTTAATTTTATATACCTCTCTGTGATACTGTTAGATGTGTTTTTGAGAGCTATAAATGGTGTTGGTAAAGTTTTCTTTTGTAAACCAATGTATTTTATTAATGAAGACAACCACAAATTATTTATAGTTATGTATATTTCAAGTTATATTTCGCATAGATCTCCTCCAAGGTGCAAAATGTTATTTAAATGAATTATATAATTTACTTCCAACTCTTTATATAGAATATTTGGTTTTCCCTATCTTTTGAAAGAAAAAGTATACACAAAAAATGATGAATACCATCTGATGAAAGAAATTAGACTTTAATTTGGTCAGTAAGCATGTCTTATATACATCATTGGGGAGGAGTAGAGTTCCATGGGTCTTTGAACCAAAAAAACCTGCATGGAAAAGAATGTTTTCCTTCTTTGATAAGGTAGCTAATAAAAATCTTTTGGTCTTCTTGGATTGGATTAAATTAAAATATAATTTCAGGCATAGACTTAACCTAACATAAAGTAAGAGCTCAGAGCTTTGTGTGCTATCACTTCTATTTTCCTTCAGAAATAGAATTATTGCTGCTGAAAAAGCAAAGCCTTATACATAGTGGCAGAGGATCTAATAAAAAAGCTTCATTTGAATAACAATAAAGGGCAATAATGACATTTGAATAGTCAGAAAAACTATCAGGGAGAAGACAGAAATGGGTCTTATTGAAAAGAAAATGAAAATCAATAATAGCAAATTTATATACTATTTATTGAATCATGAAATTATCCTTGATTATATTTTATAAACAGATCTTGGCTGACTTGAAGTGGTAGGCTTTTTGATGGTTAGCACAATGTCATAACTGCAATTCTAGCCAAATTATTTTTGGGTGAAAGCTATGCCAGTGAGCGTACAGTGAGCAGGGTGGGGAAATTCTTACTGGTTATGATTATATTTTTAAAGTACTTTCTTGAATTAGGGACAATCTATGATGTGTAGAGGTTTGTAAGAAGCATGTCATGTACTCAAGCACAATTGGATTGTCTGAAGTTAAAAAAACGTCCCCATAAGACAGTATAAACTTTTTTTCTGATTTGTATTATGCCTTTGATTTGTAGTTGCTACAATTTTCATGGAGTGGGCTATTATCAATGCTACTGATCTTAACTGACGGTCTTCCATTTATATTTCAACATACATATAACTTAGATAAATCCTGAATACTTAGATTTCTTTTTTTTTTTTAAAGATTTTTATTTATTTATTTATTTATGTGACAGAAATATCACAAGTAGGCAGAGAGGCAGGCAGAGAGAGAGGAGGAAGCAGGCTCCCTGCTGAGCAGAGAGTCCGATGTGGGGCTCGATCCCAGGACCCTGAGATCATGACCTGAGCTGAAGGCAGAGGTTTAACCCACTGAGCCACCCAGGTGCCCCAGATTTCTAAAAATAATTATATTCAGCATTAATTTATGGCTACCGTGTTTGAGGATTGATCAAAAGCATGATAGACACATGGCATACTATTGCTATTTACTTAATGATGAAAGACTGGGACCGATTGAAGATTTGTTATAAGATTAGATACAAAAAATAAGTCTTTCCTTTTTTTTCATGGAGGTGGCTACTACTCTTTAATAGGTTGTAGTTGTATCATAACATAAACATCTGCGGTGACACAAATATATTGTCCTAATTATACTCTTAGAATAACTGGTTATTTTGGTGCCTTGTTTAGTATTCTACTAAAATAGACCTATAATCTTTCTCTGGCTTTCAAATTGCAAAGGAATTTGAAGTTCAAATATAGCTATCTAGCAATGAGCAGTCATTTAGCTCAAAAAAGACTTTTTGACACCAACAGAAAACTCTCATGTGAATTCATCTGAATAGGTAGAGTCAGAATCTAAAACCCAGTGTAGTAGGACTTGAGCACAAGTCTGGGTGGGTCTTCTTTGCTCAGTATCTCCCTGCTTGATGAAAAAGAAACATTCCCAGTGACAACTAGTTTACTAGTAGATGTTGAAATGGGAGGCTAAATTCTGTATGTTCATATGTTTTAATGTGTATAGTTAAGAATAGGAGAAAAAGGCTCTTTTATACCTAATGCTTTTTATATCATCTGCTACCATTTCTGATTTGGCTAAATATATCTGACTGACAAGAGAGATTGTAAAAAAAAAACAGCTACTGAAAAAATCTTTCTTCTAACATTTGATAGAAATTTTTATCCATTCACAGATTCAGATTAAGAGTTTAGAACAAACACAAACAGTTGGAAGATACACACTGAATTCATGAATATTTATGGTGTTAATGACTCTTCCATATCACATGTGAAATTAAGTGTGAAAAATGGAAGTGGCATAATACCATAGAAATGGAAAGAAGACTGTGAGTTTTGGAGCCTTGGACTCTTGGCCTGGCCTCCCCAAACTGGCCACAGGGATATCATCTCTGGAATGAGTTTCCTTTTCTGTAAAAAGAAGCTATCAGTAAAGCTAGTATCTAAGTTTCCTTAACACTGAGATTATTTGAAACCCATGATGGTTAAGATAAAACATTTCTATAACATGTACAAATACATGTTTAATCTTATTTTTCTCTAATTATGCAGCTGGATCATTTTGTAGTATTTAACGCATGTATCATAGAAAGCTTCCAAGAACATAAGTAGAAACCACTAAAATAGCAAAGATACTTAGTGGCTGGCTAATAACTCAACCAGACAATATCCAAGTGTTCAGTTCAGATTTTCATAGCTTGAATTGGAGACAGTGTTATTGATAGGCTGTACATAAAGAATAAGGTCTTCATGACCAAAATTAAATGACAAGATCTGCTGAATACAAAATGCCAACTACTAGCCCACAAATCCCAGATCAGAGTCCCATTTGAAAAAGCTAGGGATTTCAGTGAAGGCACTATTGACATTTGGGGCTAGACCATTCTTTACCTTGGGGGATGGGAATAAGGTTGTCTTGTGCATTTTAAGTTGTTTAACATCATCCTACCCACCACATTCCAGTACCAAACCCTCTGTTGGGACAACCAAAAATGTCTCCAGACATTTTCCACATGTTCCCCAGAAGTCAGAATCCTCTTTCCTCTCTGCTGAAGACAGTAATCTAAATGATCTATGAGCATTTTCTTAAGCACATTCCAAGAAAAATGAATGCCCTGGGTAGCTGTTACTGATTTTTTTTTTTTTTTTTAAATCAGTTACCCTGTGGTCAAATTTGAGATACTCTAGGAAAACCCAACTTTTAAAATGTTTGAATTCTAGAACTTTACGGAGTCACTTAAATGGCTAACGTGTGCTATGAATATCAAATATGGTATATAAAATAAAACTTTGACTTCTTAAAAAAAAAAATCCCATCTTTCTTGCAGCATCTAGTCTGACTAAAGTTCCAAAGAGCGCATTTTGAGAAATAGTGATCTCTCCAGTTCAATAATGGAATATACAAAAACGTGGTTGTAACTATTTCTTCTCTTCCTTTACCTCACTGGTACTGGGATGGGTACTATAATTAAAGATCAGCTAATAGTTAGGAATCCAGGTTTTTAGTAAAAGGGGAATGTAAACATAGGAAAAGACCATTTCTAGTTCAGCACCCATTTTCCTGAGTGGCAGCCTAAACCTCAGTAACAAATTCCAAGTATCTGAACAACTATTGATTACAAGCTATGTTGGCCCGAGTAAAGCATTTAACATCTTCTTCCTCAAGGGGAAAAGTGATGGTTTCCTACAACCTCAAAGGGAATAAGATGCCTAATTAAAAACCATGGATAGGTCCTTGTTGATATAAAATCCCCTAAGGCCTACCCCTTACAACAATAAAGTTATAAT